AACTTACAGATTAATTTATTATAAATATATTATTAATATATCTCCTCGGAAGAAAGGTTGGGCAATCTACTTCCGTAGTGATACTGCCTCAGAAACCCAAGGAGGGGTCGCTATCACTCGGGTTCGACTCAATGGCACGTAATGAAACAACAACAACATTGTAACATGTGATTTACTACTAGAAAACTTTATAAATAGCCCTGAAACATTGATATAGTGCCGGAAGGTGAGCCCTTCAGGTCAGAAGGCACTCAAAATATGACTGGGGAAGAGCTGCCTCCTCCAAATAGAGTTGACCTTAATGACATGGATGGAGTAAACTTTTGGGGCCGTCATTTGCTGATGTGGTAGGACTCAAAATGGGAAGAAACAGCTGCAAACATCCATTAATAAGTGGAACATGGGAAGTTTGAAGTATGAATCTAGGAAAATTAGAAGTTGTCAAAAATGAAATGGAATGCATAAGATCAATATCCTAGGCATTACTGAGCTGAAATGGACCAGTTTGGGTCATTTTAAATCAGACAACCAGATGATCTACTATGCTGTGAATGACAAATTGAAGAGGAATAGAGTGACGTTCATCATCACAAAGAATTTTTCAAGAACTATCCTGAAGTACAATGCTGTCAGTGATAAGATAATATCCATATACCTACAAGGAAGACCAGTTAATACTATTATTATTCAAACTTATGCATCAACCACCAAAGCCAAAGACAAGGAAATTGAAGATTTTTACTAACTTCTGCAGTCTGAAATTGACCAAACATGCAATCAAGATGTATTGATTATTACTGGTGATTGGAATACAAAAGTTGGAAACAAAGAAGGATCACTGGTAGTTGGAAAATACTGTCTTGGGGATACAAATGATGCCAGAGATCTCTTGATAGAATTTTGCAAGAACAACAACTTATTCATTGCAGATACATTTTTCGAACAACATAAATGGCATCTATACATGTGGACTTCACCAGATGGAATACAGGAATCAGATAAATTACATCTATGGAAAGAAGCAATGGAGAAGCCAAAAGAAGGTCAGAGGCTGATTGTGGAACAGCCCATTAATTGGTCATATGCACGTTGAAGCTGAAGACGATTAAAACAAGTCCACAAGAGCCAAAATATCACCTTGATTATATCCCACCTGAATTTAGAGACCATCTGAGTGAATTGATGTGTTGAACACCAATGACCAAAAACCAGACAAATTGTGGGATTGAAACAGGAAAGGAATCGGGCTAGCCAGGTCAAACAGACCCCTGAGTCAATATCCTTGAAATTTTAGCCTACATGCAGGCCACCACAAAATTCTGCTGCTGGAATCAGAAAAATGATTAGTTGATGTGGAGAGCCCTAAGTCTTAAGGACTGATGGGACATGGTGAGTGACTAATTGAGCAATGGCTCCCATAAACAGGTTGATACTTTTAAGTGTCCCCACATGGGTTGATGCTGTTAAGTGTCCTTGTAGGCTGAGCTCCGTTCTTAGGACACCATCAGCCATTTTCTCCCTTGTGTTGTTCAGAGAAACAGCAGGTGCAAAAGAGGCATAACCTTTGATTGAACCCAGAATATACGGAAGCCAATCTGAATAAGTTGCTAGGGAACATAGGTTTCTAGGGGACATAATTGTATAGAAGAATGAGTATAGAATTTAAGAGGTTATGGTGACCTGAGTTGTGGTGACTTGAATTATGGAAACAGAAATGTTAGTTTAAATTTTAATATGCCAATTGTGTATGTATGTACTTTTCCCAATATTGATTAACTTGTGATTAATTAATTGTATGACAAATGAATGGTGCACTTTTCTCATGTTAAACTTGTATATAAACTTGAGAATAATCATAATAAAATTGGCACTGCTTTGCAATGGCTCTGAGTGTCCCTCCCGTCCCCATCCTTTTACTTTTCTCTTATTTTTAACTCATTCTCTTACAGCCTGTTCTAGAATTGTCGTGCTGGCCGCGTGACAAGTTGACAAACCAGATGCTTGGGTGAGATAACAAGGCTGAAGGAAGATTGGGCAATCTACTTCCGTAGAGATACCGCCTCGGAAACTGAAGGAGGGGTTGCTATGAGTCGAAACTGATGAAGGAGGGGTTGCTGTAAGTCGAAACTGACTCCATGGCAGTGAGTTTGTTTGTTTTTTTTAAGTTTGACTAGTTATAAAATGCTGATAAACCTCCGGATTGTTTTTTTAAGTCTCTCATTAGGCACCCACCAGGTGTAGAGCATGTGCAGTAAAAGTCAGTGTGACCAAGAAAGTGACCTTCCACCAGGGGCAGGCAAGAACAAGGATCTCTCACAGAGGACTGAACAGGGGGCCAGAGACATCACGCATGTGCAACTTGAACCTCAGAACCCCACCCATTTCATGAATGAAGATGATGCCTCTTTCCTCCCAAAGACCCTTTATAAATCTTAGGAATTCTTTGGAGAGAGACAACAGGCTAATGTAGGCGAAAGCCCCTCTCTGTCTCTCCTTCACGAGCCCCTTCTCTGTCCTCTCTTTAATAAACTTTGGTTTGTGTGGATATTTTGCCTCTCCTGTGCCATTCTTTGTCAGTAGAAGGCAAGGACCACTGCTCAGGGTCTCAGACTTCCCAGTAACAGAATGACATCAACAACATCATACATTAAGGCAGCAAGAAGTCATTAAAAAGACGAGAAAGGAAGAAAAGACCAAAATAGATGTCAGGAGGAACTCTGAAACTTGCTCTTGAATGGAGAGTAGCTAAAGCGAATGGAAGAAATGACAAGATAAAAGAGCTGAACAGAAGATTTCAAAGAGCAGCTTGAGAAGACAAAGTCAATTATCATAATGGAATGTGCAAAGACCTGGAATTAGAAAATCAAAAGGGAAAAATATGCTTGGCATTTTTCAAACTGAAAGAACTGAAGAAAAAATTCAAGCCTTAAGTTATAATATTGAAAGATTCTATGGAGAAAATACTGAATGATGCAGGAAACATCAAAAAAAGATGGAAGGACTACACAGAGTCACTGTACCAAAAAGAACTGGTCAATGTTCATCCATTTCAGGATGTGCATATTATCAAGAACCACGGTATTGAAGGCAGAAGTTGAAGCTGCACTGAAGAAATTGGCAAAAAACAAGGCTCTAGGAATTGATGGAATACCCATTGAGATGTTTTAACAAACGGACGTCACACTGGAGGCACTCACTCGTCTATGCCAAGTAATTTGGAAGACAGCTACCTGGCCAACTGATTGGAAGAGATGTACAACTGTACCCGTTTCAAAGAAAGGTGATCCCACAGAATGTGGAAATTGTCAAACAATGTCATTAATATCACACACAAGTAAAATTTACTGAAGATAATCCAAAAACTGTTGCAGCAGTATATTGACAGGGAACTTTCAGAAATGCAAGCTGGATTCGGAAGAAGACATGGAACAAGGGATATCATTGCTGATGTCATATGGATCTTGGCTGAAAGCAAAGAATACCAGAAAAATGCTTACTTGTGTTTTATAAACTATGCAAAAGTATTTGACTGTGTGGATCATAACATTGCAAAGAATGGGAATTCCAGAACACTCAATTGTGCTCATGAGGAACCTGTACATAGAACAGGAAGCTGTCGTTCAAACAGAACAAGGGGATACTGCATGATTTAAAATCAAGAAGGGAGTGCATCAGGGCTGTATCCTTTCACCATACTTATTCAATCTGTATGCTGAGCAAATAATCCGAGAAGCTGGACTGTATGAAGAAGAATGTGGCATCAGGATTGGAGAAACAACCTGTGACGTGAAGACGACAAAACCTTGCTTGCTGAAAGTGAAGATGACTTAAAGCACTTACTGATGAAGATTAAAGACTATATATAGTCTGTACTATGGATTATACCTCAACATAAAGAAAATGAAATTCTCACAACTGGACCAATAAAGAGCATCATGATAAATGGAGAAAAGACTGAAGTTGTCAAAGATTTCATGTTACTTGGTTCCACAATCAACACCAATAGAAGCAACAGTCAAGAAATCAGACGTCGTATTGCACTGGGCAAATCTGCAAAAGACCTCTTTAAAGTGCTGAAGAGCAGAAATGTCTCTTTGAGGACTAAGGTGCACCTAACCCAAGCCATGGTATTTTCAATCACCTTGTATGCATGTGAAAGCTGGACAATGAATAAGGAAGACCAAAGAAGAGTTGACACTTTCGAGTTGTGGTGTTGGTGAAGAATACTGAAAGTACTGTGGACGGCCAGAAGAACGAGCAAATCCGTCCTGGAAGAAGTGCAGCTGGAATACTCCTTGGAAGCGAGAATGGCCAGACTTGGTCTCACCTCCTTTGGTCATGTGGTCAGAAGGGACCATTCCCTGGAGAAGGATATCATGCTTGGTAAAGTGGAGGGTCAGAGAAAAAGGGGAAGGCCCTCAACAAGAAGGACTGACACAGTGCTGCACAATGGGCTCATGTGTAGCAAGCACTATGAGGCTGGTGCAGGACCAGGCAGTGTTTTGTTTGGTTGTACATAGAGTCACTGTCAGCTGGACCTGACTTGAGCAACGAATGACAACAACAGCAACAGCCTTGATTTTGGCTAATGCCTTCAGTATGGCTTGACTTCTTCCTTCAAAACCATCAATTCTTGAAATGGTTGAACTTCATCCTGCTGTTTCTGGGGTTTTCCAGGTTTCACAGTCCCATGGGCCCACAGTCTGTCATCTGACTTTCTGATTTCGGATTTGTCAGCCCCTGCAATCATAAGTTAGGAGAAGACTCCAGCTGACACCTCACCCGTGGATTTGGGACTTGCCACCTCTCCAAACAAGTGAACCATTTCCTGAGGTACATCATATATATATATATATATATATACACACATATATTTATATATCAGCCAAATCAACTTCACTGCCATCCAGTCGATTCCAACTTATCATGACCCCCATGGGTTAAGTTTATGTGCAGGCTCCAAATCTGAGGAGACCACCCCTTCTTCAGCTGCTGCTCCTTCTGTTGTAGGACAGCCACTGTACAAGTCCCAGCTTACAAAGGTAATGTCCCCAAGTAATCGCATAAATGTACCGATGTTGCTTTGTTGTAGAGCGCCATCCAGCCAATTCTGACTCGTGTATTACAGAGTAGAACTGCTTCATAGGGTTTTCTTGGCTATAATCTTAATGAAAGCAGACAGCTAGGCCTTTTATCTGTAGTGGGTGGGCTCAAACTGCCAACCTTCAGGTTAGTGGTCCAGTAAAAACCATTTGTGCAACCTCAAAACCAAACCAAACCTCTTGCCATTGAGATGTTTCTGACTCATTCACAGTTGAACCCTAGAGGGCAGAGTAGAACTGCCTTGCAGGGCTTCCAAGGCAGTAATCTTTATGGAAGCAGACTGCCACATCTTTCTCCCATGGAACAGCTTGTTGTTGTTGTTGTTATGTGCCGTCGAGTCAGCCCCGACTCATAGCGACCCCCCTTTGGGTTTCCGAGGCAGTATCACTATGGAAGTAGGATTGCCCAACCTTCCTTCCGAGGAGTGGCTGGTGGGTTTGAACTGCCAGCCTTCTGGTTAGCAGTCAAGTGCTTTAGCCACTATGCTACCAGAGAACAGCTAGTGGGTTTAAACTCCCAACTCCAGTTAGCAGCTGAACATTTTAATCTCTGTGCCACCAGGGGGCCTTCTGTGCTATCTAAAAGCCAAAACCAAACTCATTGCCATTAAGTTGATTCTGACTTATAGCAACCCTAGAGGACAGAACAAAACTGCCCCATAGGGTTTCCAAGGCTGTAAATCTTTATGGAAGCAGACTGACTCATCTTTCTTCTGCAGAGTGGTTGGTGGGTTCGAATTGGTGACCTTTTGGTTAGCAGTGGAATGCTTTAACCACTGCACCACCAGAGCTCCTTATGTGCCACCTAGGGACATTTTTAAGTACACTGATGGAGACAGAAAAATATACAACCAATTATAAACCAATGTGATAATTTTCTACAGTCAGACTTTCAGAGCTCACAAAAAGAGATGGCTACTTCTATCCAAGTAGAGTGGCGAAGACCTCAGAGGAGGTGGTGGTTAAACTGGATTTGGGCAACCGTCTAGAATATGGCCAAGTAGGAATGAAAATTCCAGACAAAGGGATGAGCACCAATGAAAGATCTGGCAGCAGCGATGCACAGTGACCAAGAGCACAGAAAGTACTTCAGTGTGAATGGCCCATATGCCGTTGCGGGAGGGAGTTGGGTAGTAAGGAAGAGAGGTCAGAAATGAGATGGGAAAATGAGGATGGTGGAGAATCTCTATGGCAGACACTGACTCCCAAGAAGGAAACTCTCTAAGGAAGGAGGTCTGTGAATCAACCTTTCTCTCATATATATATGCACACACTTTTCAAGACAGCTGACATGTTTCTCACCCTTCTCTGTTACCTGTTAGCTCCAGAATATTCTCCCAGTGCACCTAGAATTCACGAGGCCAGTAATTACAGTCTCCCTGTGACATCATCCTGAAAATTCTCCTAATTCTCTGTCCTTCTGCCACTTCTCCTTGATGCTCGTGGCTCCAGGATGACCCACTGTCCAGTTGGTGTTCATTGTGTCAATCAGGAGGAATAGCTGTCCGTTGATGCTGAACCACCAGGATGCCCCAGTGCAGTGTTGCACTTCTCGCTGACAAACCAGCTTGACCTGCAAGGTGGGAGGACCTGCTTGCAGTTCACAAAGAGATCACCTTCTACTCTTGCCAGACCTCTCACTCCCCATTGGTCCTGTTTCTTTCCATGCATTTAGGGACCTAAACTCGATTTTCTAGATCTTGCCATTTTTGGCCATGTAGGTTGAGTACATGTTCCTTTCCTTGACACAGACACATCCAAAGGCTCTCCCATGCACAGTTTCCCTTCACCTTTCCTTCTCCTGCTGTCTTCAGGCCGTGGGCTCATCCACACTTACCCATAACTGTGAAGTTTTCCAGCTTAATTAGGCAGGAGAATCCTGAGCTCTTGTCCCAACTCTTCCAGCTTTTTGGTCTGTTCTTCCCATGTTTTTGTGGTGTTTACCTTCTCATCCATGGGACCCAAGGGCTTAGCCTTTTTGTTGTCACTGTCATAGTGAAGGAAAGGATTTCCATCTATTGAACCCTGGATTTCACACCAGGGCTGTGCAGGTTGGGTCCAAGTCATCGCCGTGAAGTCATAATAAAGAGAGTGATAATCTGTGAACAGAAAGTTCAGGTGGTCAAGGTGGGAAGACTTCCCCTTAGTGCCTAACTCTCTGTGACCCCAGGAGAACCCCTCTGAAGGGCTGGGGGGAGGGAGGAGTCTTCATTCCATACCTTCTCAAATCTTCCACCCGTTCTCTCTTTGAACTAGCTGGAGTTCAGTAAAATACTCTAATGCTCCTTTGTTCCTCTCAGATGTACATACCGTTACCAGGAGAATTCACCTTACAAATATTTCTCACGATAACTGCTGAGTTCAGAGGCACAAAAAATATAAGCCAGTGTTGTCCTCCTCTAGGGGCTTACATGCTAGCTGCACAGACAGAATTTTCAACAGAAGGGAAAAAGAGAGTATCACAGGGCACATGTCAAATTCATAATGGGCACGGGGTATTCAGGGAAGGCTTCCTAGAGTAGGAGGTGGTACTTGGCAGTAAAGGGAGAGATGCTATATGTAACATTGTGTCTTTTTCAGAGAAAACTCTGAAATTATCCTTCTTCCCTTCTAAACTCTGGTTATTGGTTTCATACCTAGCCTCTTCCAGGGATAAAGAAAGGGATTCTTATAAGGCCTCTTCTTGTTTTCCTCTTTGTTGGCAGCATCCAAAGCATCATAGTCAGGAGCACGTTGAACAGACACCTTCTTCTCTCCATCGGGCCTCTTCAAGGTGTTGCCCTTAGCCACATCAATGTCGTAGAGCTTCTTTACAGCATTTGATCTGGTCCTTGTTGGCCTTGACATCCAACAATGAACAATGAACAAGTGTGTTGTTGTCTGTCTTCATGGCAGACTCAGTAGTCAGCAGGAACTTGACGATGGCATAGTGGTCAAGCTTTTTTCTCCTGGGGGTGCTCTTCCAAGGATATTTGGGCTGCCTTCAGAGCCTCAGTGTCTTAGGCCGCCGGAAAGTGGGTGACGTGTGCATCTTCTTCCATTTTTTTTTTTTTTTTTTTTGTGGCTCTGCACGCCTTTCAGCACTGCCTTCTTGGCTTTCAACGCCTTTGCTTTGGCTTCAGTTTTGGGAGGAGTAAGGGCTTCCTTCTTCGCTTTTGGCACCATCTTTGTAAAAAGGTGAATCTATTCTTTTTTATCAATCCTTCAGTATATGGTAAATTCTCACATAAATGAGGATTCTGAATTCTGAACAGAGCAAGGAAAGCCCGTGTATGGTGGGTGCATGGGCCCAACTGGGAGCATTAAAGGGGAACTGCCCAATGTCACATTCATTTAGTACAATGCAGTGTTGAAGAGGGTCTGTGTAGCTTGTCTGCCTAGCCTGCCATCTTACTGGAAGCCCTTACATCCAATACGGCGTTGATCATAATACTTAGAATATGGAAAGCATGAGGGAAATGTGGGTCTCAGCAATGGGGATGGTGTATCAGCACCTTTTATTCTTGTAATCAAAATCTGATTGCTTTAAGGGTACACCCTGAGCCCTTTGTACATTCTTTACCTCTGGCCTTACACCTCTCCCTGTTGGTCAGTGTTCACATTACAAAGAAAAAGAGACAATTGGGTGTTGTGTGCTTCCTGGTGAAATGCAGTAGGGTATTTACAACACTAACGGGAGCTCTGGTAGCATAGTGGCTAAGACACTTGCCAGCTAACCAGACAGCTGGCGGTTCAAACCCACCAGCCACTCCTCGGAAGGAAGGTTGGGCAATCCTACTTCCATAGTGATACTGCCTCGGAAACCCAAGGAGGGGTCGCTATGAGTCGGGGCCGACTTGACGGCACATAACAACAACAACAACAACAACAACTGTGAAGTATTGTCCAGTACATGGAACTGGAATCTAACTAAGCCTCTAGATTTAACAACTGGCTTAAGGCAAAGAGGAATCAGAAACACAATATGAGCCAGAGGTACCGGATGCATCCAAAACCAAAATGTGAACGTCCTACAGGACTAGAAACATGTTTTCTTCAATAAAACAATCACCAGGAGAGAGACACAGGGAGAGGGAACACGTAAATTAAAAGAGACTTAATACAGAGAACAACAAAACAGATGGGGAGCCTGTGCGTGGATTCTGAGTTAAACATTTAAAAAACAAACAAACAAACAAAACAGAGCCCCCCCCCCAAAAAAAAACAAACTATGAACACTGACTATATTTAATAATATTGAGAAATAACATTGCTTTTTCTCTGGGTGATAATGGTATTTGTGTATGTTAAAAAATTCCCTTATTTTGTATTGATACAAGTTAAAAAATATTTATAGGTGAAATTAAATGAAGTGTAATACACCCATATACAAAGCGACAAAAAATAAAATCAAGAGAGTGAAACCAAATGGGTGGTCTGTGTGAAACAAGGCCGATGATGGGTGCAGAGGGGAGGGACTAGTCTGAACACTCAGCACACAGTACAAAGATGCACATCGATTTGGGGACCAGTGAGCAGTCCAGTGTAACGAACCATAGGTCACTGGAAAAGCAATCTTCCTACAGTGAGGCAGAGGTGAAACGGGAAGGGAGGATGGCCAGGAAACCCTTGGGGTGTCAAGGAGTCTTCCACAGCAAATCCATCATCCCCCAGGAAATCAGTGACCATTCATGTATACACTGTCTGCCTGTCCATCTCTCTCTCTCCCCGCCACTCCCTCCTCCAAAGGGCTGGGTCACATCTGGACAGTTCTCATGTCCTTCTCACCCTGCCCAGTGACCTGTCACTTCAGAGGTTTTCTCCCAGTGCAGCGAGGAGTCCCTAAGTCAGTAAATGCAGTCTCACTTTGTGATCTTTCTGAAACCCTCAGGTAACTCCTCATTCTTCTACATCTCCTTGGCTCTAGGAGGAACAGCATCCAGCTGGTCTTTACTGTGTTGATAATGAGAGAAATCTGCCTCACAAGGCTGACCCTCTAGGCTTTTTTATGACACTCCT